GGGACAGCCCCTGCCCCTAGAAGTCCTCAGCCAAGGGTGTGGGGGGAACTTCTAGTTTGTTCCAGGCACAATTACAGGCATATGGCTGGTACCACCCATGTGCCAGGCCTGATAGGCTGGGCTGAGGTGGAATGCTGGGTAAAGATGCCCTCCAGCTTAGTAAAGGTTGCCTTCTGGGGGCTTTGTCTTTCAGCAGAAAGATGGTGGCTTGAAGTAAACGTGGACTTGGCCTGGAGGTCAGAAGCCATCTGTAGTTAACTGGAGGACATCCTGTCAAGTTCCTCTGGTTCTTCTGGGGGTCAAGGAGAGGCTTCCCTGGGACCCAAGCTGGGGGCAGGGAGAGGGCACTGTTCTGGGTGTTATTCTTAACCCACAGCCTTTCGTCATGTCATTAACTGGGGTTCTGTTCTGCCCTTTGTTTTTCCTGCCTCCCCTCCACAACCCAGGGACGAGCGGACAAGAACCCAGCAACTATGTTCCAGGATTCTGTTATTCATATAAACACAGGTCCCTTTCATTTTCTGAGGCTTTAGCATTTTCAAAATATGTTTCTGTCCATTATCCCATTTGATCTTCCCAATGTGTTTTCATCACAAGTTTCCTTGGGGTCCCTAGTTTGTGCCATTTGTTTGAGGTGATCTCTGTTCCCTCTGACAGATTCTGCCCCGCCCTCTTCCTATCATGAAGGCTGCACTGGAAAGTGTTCAATGTTACTGGGGGCATGGAAGTCCCCATTTTGCGGACCTCAAGCAGGGTTCTTTTCCCATTTGGTGTCATGAAGCCAATTATGAGACTGAAAGTATTAACAGCACAAGATTTTATTCAATGGCCAGAGAATGGAGAAGCAGGAGCACAGTCTTACATCAGTCTCTCATCCCTTAGCGGTTCAGAAGTGGCCCACATAGGACAGCAGAAATGAAGGGAGGTTGAGGTAGATAGGTAGGGGGAATATTCATGGATTTTCCAAGGAAAGGGGCTGTGGCTCTCTCTCTCTCGCTCTCTCTCCCCCTCCCTCTCTCTCTCCCCCTCCCTCTCTCTCTCTCTCTTTCTCTCTCTCTCTCTCTCNTTTTTTTTCTCCTATAGTTTAGTTTTTTCTAGAGTTGCAGGATTTTATGTAAATGAAATCACACAGTATGAAATCTGTTGGGTTAGGTGTCTTTCCCTCAGCTTGATGATTCTGTAATTCATCCATGTTATTGCATCTCTATGAGTCATTCTTTTTAGTGCTGAGTATTCCATCGCCTGAATATATGACAATTTATTTATCTACTGATGGACACCTGGGCTCTTTCCAGGACATGGAAATTATGGATAGAGCTGCTATGCATATTCTTGTTCAAGCCTTTGTATGAATTTAGATATCTTTTTGCTACTTCAATAGATGTGCCATGTTACCTTGATATTGTCTTAATTTCCATATCCTTAATTGCCAGTAATGCTGTGCATTTTTACCCTCTGATGATGATGATAATATAATAATAATAATAATAATAATAATAATAATAATAACCCTTCTTGAATGTTCACTATAGTGACAAGCCCTCTAATTTATCCTCGTAAGACCTGCAAAGTAGGTATAATTATATCCATTTCACCTGGGAAGGGACAGATGCAGTCTCCTTAAGTGACTTGGATATGTGGACTCTGACTTGTCACTGCCCTGAGGCTCTCTCCAGGCCACACTGTGGCTCTCTGGGGCTGTCACAGTGGCTCCTGAGTAGACCACCGGCACACATCCTTGCTCACTTTTTGGAGGGGCGTTTAGGCCTGTACATCATGCGGTTCTGCCAATCTAAATCATTTTATTAATAACTCTTTGAGGTTGTATCGGTGACATATTTTCCCCATTCTCTTGTTTTCCTTTTAATATATATTTGTAGAATTTTGTTGTTTATTTATTTATTCAAACACATCTATCTTATCTGATGAAAGAGTTAGTTTTTCAAGAGCCAGAAATGTATCTTTGCTCCACTGCTTGAATATATAGTTCTATTTTCTTCTTTTTTTATGCTTTTTGTATTTTGCTTTCTGACATATTGCCGTGTATTGCCATATGTGATGTGAGCTATGGAACCACATAAGCATGAGAAATGCCTGCTCAATAAGTAAATCCAAAATGGAAATGCTACTTTCGTTCAGTACATGGGAAAAAGAAGCCAAGATAATTAAAAGCTGTTTCCTAAAAATGAATGGGAGGGTCAGTTGCTGAACTTGGCATTTATTCCACTGTTCTCCTTTGACGGAAGGAAGCGCTTTGCACACCACACACCACTTAGAATGAAAGCTTGTCAAGAGAATTACAGGGCATGGGTTCGGTGTACGCATCATTCCTCCACCTTCTTTACTTCTCTCCTGCTTCCTTTGAAGTTCAAAGTTTAGCAATTTCTAAAGTCAACTAACAAGAAACAAAAAAACCTCAGAGCTGAAAGGGGCCTCATGAGGTCATTCATTTTTCTATCCAGCAATACTGACTAAACTGGGTCTTATGATGGGGACCCGTCTAGAAAGATGAATAAAACCTAGCCTCTGGCTGAATCTGGTGAGGGAGATAGACATATGCAAAGCAAATAGAATGTAATGTGAAAAGGATGGTGTTGGAGAGACATCCAGGGATTAGGGCTGGGGACCCACCCTACCTGGCGAGCCAGGCCATGTGCCCTAGAGCATGTGGGCCTGAACTAAGGCCTAGAGGATGAGTAGCAGTTGTCTAGATTATGAGGGGCAAGGAAGCACAGGGAAGCACCCCATGTGCCAGGTGTGTGTTGCGGGGGGCACAGCCTAGGACCAGCAAGAGAGAGATGAGTGTATGGGATGGAGTGGGCAGTTATCATGAGCAGCTCTGCTCTGGAGGAAGGCAGGGCAGGAAGCAGGAAGCAGTAAGAGCATGTGAACACCACTCGGGACCTCTATGTAGTATGCAGAAACTAGACCTATCTCCTAGAGGGGACTGGGGCAGAATAGTGGTGTGGCCAGAGCCTGGGCTATTGGAACAACCCTCCAGTACAGAGGAAGGATGAACTTGAGAAGAACAAAGAGATAAGGAGGCCGTTTTAGCAGAATAGCTAGAGAGGCTATGGCCCAAATTAGGGTGATGGTAGGAATGGAAAGAAGAAATATTTAGGAAGTAAAATCAGCAGGACTTGGTGATGGATTCATAGTGGGTGGAGGGAAGGGGGAGGCAGAAATCAAGAGTGAACCCCAGATTGGATGGGACGATGGTGTCTACTGAGTGAAGAAATAGAAGAGGAAACACAAGTTTTCAGGGAAGATGACGAATTCCGTTTTTGACACGTGACCTTAGGGTGACTGCAGGTCGTCCAGGTGGTGATGACTGACAGGAAGTTATATGTTAGAAGGAGCATCTCATCTGTAGACACAGATCTAAGGGTAATCAGTGAATATTTGGTGGTTGAATCAACTACCAGTGAAATCATCTAAGGACACCGAGTAGAGGGGAAGAAGAGTGGGCCAAAGACAGACCGTTCAACATTTAGGGGCAAATGAAAGAAGGGGTCCATGAAGAAACAGTCCAAGAGGTAAGAGGGAGTCCAAGAGAGGCCATGGAAAACAGTGGGATTGTGAGTTTCAAGAAGAGAGTTCAAGAGCGTGCACGATAGGGACTGCTGGAAAGGCAAGGACCAAAGAAAATGCTCTATTATATTTTGGCAGTTAAAAGGACCCTGGAGAACTAAGAACTGTTTCAGGGAGTTGGGAGTGGGTGGGTGGGTGGAGTAAAATTCAGAATGCAAGCAGTTGAGTAATGAAGAAGGGAAAACCATGTGTCCATCTGACACCCTAAAAAATATTTACAACATTATTGATTATATTCCCCAAGCTGTCTTTCCTATCCCTGTGGCAATATTGAAGTTACCAATTTATGTTGTCTTGTCCCTTCCCCTTCTCCCTCATCCCCACCCCCTCCCATCTAGCAACCATCAGTTTTTCCTCTATATCTCTGAGACTACTTCTGTTTACATTGCTCGCTTATTCAGTTCTTTAGATTCCACATATAAGTGAGATCATATGGTATTTGTCTTTTCTGACTGACTTATTTCACTTGTTAGGGAGACCACTTCATGGACAGTGTAGAGGCCTGACCACTGCACTGTACATCTGAAGCTGCCATTGAATAATAGTATATGTGAACTATAATTTAATATATATATANCTGGTCAAAGAAGGGAATACTGGGAGGTGAGGGTCAGAAAAGGCTCCACAAATGAGGAGACATTTCAGCTGAGTTTGGAAGGGTAAATAGGAATTTTCCAATCAGACAGAGGGGAAGGACATTCTAGACGGGTGAGCTGTGTGTACAAAGGCATAATCGGAAGAGGTGCTATGGTGTATTTGGGAAACTGTAGATAGTTTGGTCTGGCCTAAGCATAAGGTAGGAGGTGAAACAGGTAGAGCTGAAACTGGACAGGTGAGCTCAAGCAGAATCCCTAGGAGTGGGTTGTGGGAATCTGTTTGATAAAAAAATGTCCCCGGGGATTCTGAGGCAGCCTGCTGGAGGTCCAACATCTGGAGACATCACTGTACCAAGTATTCTGCAAAATTCTCTCTAATCCGCACCACAGCCTGGCCAGGTAGACATGGTGTCCGTGTTTTACACAGGGCTCGTGGCTTCCCGCAGCCTGGCTGGGAAGAGGCGGGAAGACTTCCAGGCTGGACTTACCTGCAAGGAGATGCAGGCTGTGTTCAGACAGATGGGGGCTCGTCTTCTGGGAGAGGAGTGGGCTTACCTGCGACCATTCCGAAGGCAGAACGAGAGCACTGTGAGAAAGAGATGCCGGCCTGAGACAAAGAAGGGCTGAAAGTCAGGGTTGGCCTTGATAGGAACCCACGCATCCTCTCTTCCCAGGCCCCGCCCCTCCCTTTTGCCCTCCTCTCAGCCCAATCTCTGAACTTAATTTGCATATAAGGAGGTGGGACTCTGGCCCAGCAGCGCCATCTCCTGGTCACCTTGGTGTTACTGGCAGAGCCTGATTGGCCACCAGCACAACCTGAGGGGAAGAGGAATCTGAGCGGAGACCATAAACACTCTGAAAAAATCCCCCAGAATCACAGGCTTCACAGGTGACTCCAGAAGCCCATTTGCAGCTCTCGAGACAGACTCAAAAGGCCTGGAACCCTTGAGAGACCAGTGAGTCCAGGTGAGTGGGGAAGGCTGAACCCCAAAGGAATATGAAATCTCGGGGCAGGAGAGTCTACCCCGAGAAGGCAGGGCCAGAACTGCTGGGCACTGCAGTGCACTTCAGGGGCTTGGGGGCGCGGCCCCCCCCTCACACTCAGCCCCATGCCCGACGTGGGGGAGGATGAGGGTTTCCCATGCAGGGGGGAGGAATGGTGGGGGTGATAATCCAGGGAAGGAGAGGTTCCAGGGGTCTCAGGGAGGGGGTGCTCAGGGTTCAGGGGAGTGAGCTGGCCCCTGGGGACCCCAGAGTGGAAGAGAGTTTTAAAAGAATCAAGCCAGAAAAACAGACCCTTAAATGTGGAAAATGTTTCCCAAGGTGGCTGACTGGAGCAGGTGGGCCAATAATAGCGGGCAAAGCCGGAGGAGCCAAAGCACCAGTTCCCACAGGCGGTCAGTCAGCGAGCTCCTCACCTCGCCGGCCACAGGTTCCCATCATGGCCACTCTGACTGTTACAGTCCTTCTGTGCTTCAAGCCGGCACCTCTTTCTCACAGTGCTCTTGTTCTGCTTTCAGGATGGTCCCAGGTAAGCCCCCTCCTCTCCCAGAAGACAAGCCCCCATCTCTCTGAACACAGCCTGCATCTCCTTGCAGGTGAGTCAGAGCTGGCCATGACGGGGGTGGAGCTTCCAAACCGGGAGAGGGAGACCTGTGATAGACCCCGGCCTGGCTGGGGACGTCGGGGGAGGTTCTGGACACAGCGGGGACTGAGACTGGGAACCCCTCAGGAAGACTGGTCACTGGGCAGCACTCTGTGACCAAAGGGCCTGGCACTGGGGACCCAGGCCCAGGNCCCCCCCCAGAATTCCAGGATCAAAGGAGGCCATCAGTGCCTCTGCACTTCCATCAGCTAGGGACCAGGTCCATCTGGACCTCAAGAGGCTCCGGCTGCCCAGCTGTTGAGTGTTGGTGGTTGATCACTCTCAGCTGAACCCTTTGGATATCACCCTCAGTCAAAGAAAACCTTCTCACCCAAGGATACACTCTCCCTGGGGACAGCTGACACCCAGTGCTTGGTTAATGAAGGCATTACACACTCTTGGTCCCCTTTTCTCAATGCCAGAGAACTCTGAAGGGTCGTCCCACCTCTAGGCTCTCTGGGGAGAGGGGTCACGGGATTGGCCGATGTCTTTGTTGGGACTCCACCCTATGTCAGAGATGATCTCTTCCCTCTGTCCACTTCTGCTTCCTTCACTGTCTTAGGAGGTGTTCATCTGCAGCTGCAGCGTATTGCCCAGGAAACCTGCTCTGTGAGAATCTCTCTATGCAGCTAGACGCAGTTTCCATCTTTAATCCCTATTCCTCTTAGTAGCAGAAAATAAAATCTTGCCAGTTCAAATATAAGAAACCCTCATTAAGACTAGCAACTGTCTTTTCATTAGAAACAATGGAGGCCAGAAGGCAGAGACACAACATATTCCAAGTGCTGAAAAGAATTCCAGGCTTTTCTTGTAGAAGCCTCTGGAAAACAGGACACTTACTTCCTAATAAACATGGAACCATGAAACAATCAGTGATAGATTTGTGTTTGTGGTGGTCAAAGAAAGACTCCTGCAAGTTTGTCGTTTCAAAGGAAATGTGGAGAAGGCAAATTTTAAGCCATACTCAGGTATGCAAAATGCATCTTTCTTTAGTTTGCCAGAGCTAGACTTAGTTTCTATCTTTAGCAGAAAATAAAATCTTACCAGTTCGAAAGTTTTTGTTGACTCATTGCAAAATCACACAATTTATGTTTCTCTGCTCTCCACTTTCTTTCCGGAGGACAGCTAAGCTCCCAGGGGGAATGTTTAGCATTAGGCATAGAGTAGGCATGAGGGAAATTTGGCTTTGTACAAGACACACTGCTCCCTTGAATTGAATCTGGGTTTAAGTAATAAGGAACCCTGGTGATGGAGTTGGCCTTTCTCGATCCCTGTCACAAGATATTAGAAGAGAAGACAGTGGTCAACTATAGCCCAGGAGGAGGGAAGGACTCGACACTCAGGACTTGACTAACTTCTCAGCAGGTGCCACTGTGGCCTGGAGACCACTTTACTGGGCTGAGTATGTGGGAAAAGCTCCCGGGTCTTCATGAGCCCCTGGGTTCCATCTGCCATTCTGCCTGCCGAGTTATTTCTATCCTGCTGTTCTTGTCCATACCTGATCCATGGGGTTTAGAGCGCCATATATGCCCACCTCTAACTCTTTATAACAACAGGGCATTTTACAACTGGAGGCAATCTGAATGANTGAAGGGAGGTTGAGGTAGATAGGTAGGGGGAATATTCATGGATTTTCCAAGGAAAGGGGCTGTGGCTCTCTCTCTCTCGCTCTCTCTCCCCCTCTCTCTCTCTCTCTCTCTCTCTCTCTCTCTCTCTCTCTCTCTCTCTCTCTCTCTCTCTCTCTCTCTCTCTGTCAGGATTTCACCCTCTTTTTTCCCTTTATGGTCTCTTCTGGCTGTTGTCATGGTGATTGTCAACTGTGCTGGCGCTGTTAGGTGTGTTATTTAGCATGGAGATTATATTCTAATGAGCTTTAAAATCTTGTGGCGGTCATTTAGACAGCCATCTTGGTTTCAGCTGGTTTCAACTAGTCTTGACAAGTTCTTAACTGCTGACCACAGGGCCTCCTTGAGACAGCTAGAGTGGGGCAGGGGTTCAGCCAGGCCCCTCAGACCTTCAGGGAGGTTCTGCAGGCCTGTCACGGGGTAACAAAACCACTTTCATGTGGCGGGAGCGAAGCTGTGTCCCAACTCCAAGTTACCAGGCCCACGAGGGATACCAGTTCCACAGTGTCTTCGACTCAACTCCGTCAATCTATCCTAGGCTCTCCTTAATTGTCCCATTCATTGAACAGATATTTCTGAACAACTATGGCATGCCAGGTGCTGTGTGAGAAGCACTGAGGATACAGAAACAATGTATGGTCACGCCATGAGCCTGCACACAAACTCTGGAGGTGACATCTATCAAGCCACCGTATAGATGCTGTGAAGGGTCTGAGTTAAATTGCCTCCAAGCAAAACCCCTGCTCTTTGAAGAAAGATGGAACTAGCTCTGCTGTTGACTGGCAGTGTGACATGGGCGGGGTCCTAACCTCCTCGGTCTCCGCATCCTTACCTGTAAAGAATGACACAAGAGCCACCATTTATCACATGTCTGCTGTGTGCCTGCCAAGTGCATCACAGTCATGACCACCCCGAATTCTCCAGCACACCCTGAGGCCACCTTTATCACTTCCTTTTAACAGATGAGGAAACGGAAATTCTGACCCTCAAGTGTCTTGCCTAGTCACACAGCCAGTGGCAGGATAGGGAGTCAAATCCACTGACGTTTGGCTTCTAAACTCAAGTTTTTTTCCATTCCTGAATGCTGTCTCATAGGACTCTTGTGAGGATTAAGTGAGATTTTTAATGCAAACTGCCCAGAACAGAGCCTGGGTCCCAGCAGATTCCGGAGAAGAAACCGTAGCTGCCGTTGTTCCGTCACCTGCCATCTCCTCTCCTCTCCCCTCCCCTCCCCTCTCCCATCTCATTTACTATTATACATCATCCTCCCTCCTTCCCCGCCTTGCAATAACTAATGCATGTGCCAACATGTTTATGGAAAATAGCTTACTCTGTGCCTTTCATCTCTAAGGACCCGATCCGTGTTTGCCAAGCAGGCTTGCAGATGCGAGGCTGCTGGTTCTTTCAGCCAAACAAAAGGGAGGAGATTATCCAGGAAATTCTGACAAAGAAAGCAATTCCTCTGGTCTGAAGCATGTGGGCTACTTGTGCCCAAACTGGGCTTTGGTGCTTCAGTTACCTGCGTGATGTGTCTGTGTAGACCCAGATACTTTCGGTTATTTTTTATATTGGTTCTTTAACTGAGTAGGCGTCCCTCAGTCTTCACATCTTTAGGCAACAGGAGAGCAGGCGCCAAGGCTGAGCTGGGCTGGCATCTGGTACCTCCACGGAGCTCCGTCTGGGGAACCGGGAAAGAGCTTGAGCCCCTCCTCACCCTAAAACTTGAGTAGTCGTGCCAGTGGTAAGATGTCCCTCCTTTTTCCTCTCCTGGAGTCTTTCTTCCCACTGTGGTCCCCTGGCTCTTCTGTTCTGCCCACCCCAGGTGCCTGCTGGGCCTAGGGAGCTTGCAACTAATCCTTACTGGGGATTAACCAGCCCTGCAGGACTAGGGTTTTAGCAATAATAATGCTTCTTACGTTTCTGCAACGCTTGGCTTTCACATCCATTATCTCTCCTGATCCTCAGAGCAGCCCTGTGAGGTAAGCCTTAGTGGTGCCATTTTAGATGGAAAAAAATATGAGAAAGGAAGAGAGTGAGTTCACCCCAGGTCGCCAGGCTAGAAAGGGCAGAGCCAGCATCACACCAAGGGAGGGACCCCAGAACCAGGTGTTCTCACTTCTGGGCGTGTCCTCTTTCCATGATAACATCCTGCACTCTTAGGAAAACCAACCAAGGCCCAAAAGAAGTGGACTTTTAACAGAGGGATTTCCAGCCTCTGTGAGAAGTAGTGGGGAGTTGTGTTTAGCTGTGGGAGGCCTTTCAGGAGCTTGTCAAATTATACCCACAGGAAGTTGCCTCCTCATGGGGTAGAAGGAGGCAGGGGTGGGATACAGGTCTAGCTAGTGGCACCATCGCCCCACATGAGATACCCTCTCCCTGCAGAGGTTTGCAATCTGGGCAGTAAACACAGACCCAAGTAAACAGCCACAGCAGCGGGAGGCTCAGTGGCAATAGCTGACCACGACCCCAGCAGAGCAGCTCTCTCGTGTGCCATCTTCCAGGGTAGAGATGCTGTGCCGGGAGAGGAGTGAGTGACAGCTGACACACCAGATACTTAGATCTGGCTGAGCACTTTCGACAAGGATCGAAAACATCTTTGCAAACACTGATTAATTCTCCCCACTCTGTGAAGAGAGAGAGGGACTATTTCCCAAAGGCATTAGCTGAAGGCCCTGGCGATCAGGTGATGGCCTCTCTCACCCCCCTCTGAGTCACTGCTGAGAAGGGGACCTGATCACCATGTCTTTGCTTGGCACCATGTCTTTGTCTGGCTGCTGTCCTGCTTTGTGTCTCAGTACTTAGGAGAGATCTGAGTCCTACCCAGCTCACCTCTTTTTAAAGAGCCACTGGTGACAAACGCAGTGGGTTGAGCTGCTTCTCCCCTTACTCCTTCTTTCTTTTTTCTGCGGCCGTTGGTGGAGAATTTAGTCATCCTCTGACCTGGGTAGGAAACTTCAGAGTGAGGGGTTGGTGAGGACACAGACTCGCATATAGCTCTATGTTTTTACTTCTAAATATATTTCTTGTGGTCATTTTTGTACCTCTAAGACGATGACTTGGTGCTCCATGTCCCTCAGCTCAGTCTCCTCCAATGCTGAAAACACTGGAATTGCAACACAGTGCTTTGTAAACTGTAAAATGTCACATGGGTCTCAATCCCTAATGTCCCCCTCCTGTGTATTGGCAGAATTGCTTCTCGGTTTTTTGTGCTGCTGCAGATCCATGGATTGTGTGATGCTTTAAGGCACCATAAACAGTAAAGTGGAAGAAAGAAGAAAAAAATGAAATTATGCTGCTAAAATGAAAATGTTTTAGAAAATTGCCATCCG